TACCGCTACAGAAATCACACTCATCCTGTCTTTCCTCAGTTTTTTTTAACTTTACTCGGTTTTCCACGGTGTCCAGTACCTGGCTTCTTATATGCCTCGTTGGAATGTGGATTTTGATTATTGTTGCTGACATTACTTAATTTCATATATGCCTTTGAAACTTGTTTACTTCGTTACTGAGCGAAGCACCGCCCTCTTAGTTCCTTGGCGTGATTGACAGACTGTTCAAAAGCACGACACACTTTAATTGTACTTGTCCAGAGCGTCATTATCGTCTTTCAACAATTGTAGCTGAAGTTTTCCTTGGCTTGTGAAGAATATTTTGTCTCTGATAAGACGATCTTTGAGAGTGCCAAAATTACATCTATCGGCCCGGTTTCTCAGCTCAGTCAAGAAAATGTCAAATGGTTTTTGCCACGGCACACACCAAAATCTGTGTGATTCAATCACCTCGTTTGTTCGGGGATTACAGTATTTTTCAAGTTTCTTTAGCACCTTATCGGGATCTTTATCATCATCATCATTGTCCCACGTAAATTGGTCAAAAAGTTCAACTACGTTTGGTCCAGCGCAGTGTAGAATTATAGCGACTTGTGTTGCCTTTTGCTTCGCCGCGGCGCCATTCTCTGACATATTAATTTCAACTTGTCGTTTCCATTTTCGGTAATTTTCTGCCATATTACCTTCAATAATGTTCAGTTGTTCTGGCAAACAAAATGCTGCTTCTGCCATCTTTACTTTTCCGCTGTCACCATGTAATTAACACTGGTCTAACAGGACCGGGTAACCGCCATGATCTCATTTATTAAAACAAAAACGAGGCTATCACAATTAACGAAACATGTCATCAACACCTGGCACTCAACAAGGTCAAAAAGTCCACAGGTGATGATAATAGTCATCAGTTCGCAATGAGGATGAATCTTCACTGCAACAGCTCATTGACAGGGTCTGCATGTAAACCGACAAGTGTAAACATTTCAAAATCCATCTAGGTCACGCAAAAAATGACCACCACACGTCAAGGTGTTAAACATCCCATTATATGGGTAACTGAATTAAGTGAAAAAGTTCTCGGTGTTGTGGTAGAAACTTAAAATTCAGTGGTCATGTTAAAAATGCTAAAGTAAACAATAATGTAAGATTAATACTTAAAACATTCAGTTATATGAATCATTATCAAGCACTAGTGCATCCATTCTTTGTAAATGTATGATCACTTAAGCTCCAAAAAGACTATATGTATTGCTTGAGGCAGGGACGTATATGCGTCCCTGCTTGAGGGAAGGTCCAGAGACATGCTACCAAGTTAATTCCGTCATTACAAGATCTTTTGTATCCTTAACAAACATAGAAACGAAGTCTACCAACGCAGGAATATAGAAGATTAAGGCTTGACATGACGGAATATTGTAAAAAATTGAACGCTGCTCTAGTCAATTTAGTTTTGATTGACTAGGATAATCAAAACACGAATGGAAATGTTTAAACATATATATACAACGTAAATTCAGGATGAATTAAAGGATGCCCGATCTTTACCATTTTTATCATTTCTTCTAGTGCTATGTCTAGTATCAGAGACCTAAAATAACAGGTTTCTATTAATAATAAGAACGTCTTTATTTGAAATTCGCGCCAGTTTTTATCATTCTGTTACAAACAAACGCTTGTATCGCAAGACGCTACGGTTGAGGAAGCGTCAATAGTAACTTGATGATCGCCACGTCGCCTTAAACTACATACAGAGAGATGATGATGTTTTTACAAGGATACGGCATAGTTTAGGTAAATATGTTAACTGATCAGTTATTGTAGGATTTTAAGTAGAAAACTATTTAGGTCTGTCTGGTGTGATATGGCCATTGATGTCGATTCGCTGTTGTACAATGCATTGCATCAGCAGCGTATACGTAGTGTCTTGACTAGGCCTTTAACTTCCTACTGTGGGCCCAGCGTTTATTTAAGATGACCATCGATACAATAAAATACATCTATAATGTACTGTTTACTCAAGTGACGGAAGTTTTATATGGTTTTCACACGTATAAAATATTCTGGACCCAATGCCAGACATCAGTATTAGGCCAAAGTGCTGCATAGTCAGAAATTGTGTTGAAAGGTTGATGACCTGACTCAAATTAAGATATTACTACCAGTGATAACCACACAATCGATTGCATTTGAGTGTCTGTGTCTACATGTATATTGTCTGGACACACTGTACATACACATCCCATTGTTAAAGCTAGTTGTAATTATATAATTACATGTTTTGGAGAAAGTCTTTGTGGCAAAGGAATAGCTTATACTGAATTTTAATTTTGTCTTTGGGAAAAGATTGTTTGAAGAAGGAAGAATGTGTAATATGTTTAGTCTAAATTATTCTAATATTCTTTCAACTTTTTTTATATCTGTCTGCAGTTAATGGACAATATACAATGACCCCAGACCTAATATAAATTGATAGAATGTCAGAATAATTAGTACTAATATTTGTGTTGGCTCAGCTGGTTAGTATGTCCACACATGGTCATCACACATGATGTGCTGGTAAGTTTCCTTATCTGTCCCTTAGACAAGACTGTAGTGTCTGTCTAAATTTCTGTGGTCCTGCAGGTTTTATTGATTATCAGTGCAATTATTAGTTTAGCCTCATAGCACATTTGATATCCTAGCTATTACAGCTTAAACAGTCATCAAGTGTTTTACTAAAATATATACTCATTAAGTTTAGCTAGACATCAAGTATAATTCTGTAACCGTCACGATAGATGTTTTGGTACTGGACCATATGTGTAAAGATTTTTCCTGCCATTACGTATATGTATCAGAAATATTTTTAGCACTGACTAGGAATACTGGATGATTGTCAGCTTGGTTCTGTTAGCATATACTGGTTAAAAATCTTTTTCTCATCTTTGAATCAATTAAACTATCAGGTATGAAGTGATACCAAGTCTCCTGAAATACCTCTAGTAACTCTAAACTGCGTTAAAAGTCACAGAGGTCCTTTAGCAATATCTTCAAATTATTGAAATCTTCTAATCATTATTGCCTCACATGAAGAGGCACTTAAGATATAATTTCATAATTCAATATTTGATTGCTTACTTGCTAGCCAATCAATGATATTATGTCTTGGTCATATCATGTTTATTCCTTCCATACAATGCCAAACAAATACTTGCATGGACAACATTAGTGGCAGTAAGTAGCCAAACTGTAGGGATTTAATCCTATTGTAACATGGTACAGATGAGATCTTAACTGTATAACCAGTCCACCATTAATGGTAATTAATTCCATTTTAGACAGTAATTGTAACATGATGTATGCATAATAAAAGTTGTCGTGAAAATGTATGCATAATTACCATAAAAGATGGATACATGATTAACAGCTGAATACAACATCATTTATACATGTATAAAATTTCATAATTATGCAGTGTAAAGATTGCCGATGTCTTCATGTAACAATTTATGCAGGGATTATCTTTTAATAAATGTTGGATTATTAGCTCCTTCATAATAAAAGGAGTTCACTCACTACTGAATTTTCAATTATAAACATCAACAAAGCTATCAATAAAGACTCCTACAGTGTGGAAGCCATTTGTCAACCAAGGATTAGGATTTTAAAGCTTGTGTTATCTTATAAATTCACTAGAATGATTTGAAACTTAGTTTCCTTGCATGTACACACTTAAAACATTGGTGGAATAATTTTTCACAGTCACTTTGCATATATTTATGTCTAAGGATGATGAAATCAGCTTAACATCCAGCTCTGTACTAGCATGAATCAGCAGTATTTCATTGCATGTGTCTCATGTATTTTATTTATTAATATTCAACAGAAAATATCTTCTAATGATGGACAGATTGAAATCAATTTAGATATAATCTAAACATTAAATTAAAACTGTTTCATTATTCAAATTTTGAAAAGATTATTAATTGGCAGAGTTCAGAAATGACAGAGCATAACATTTCACTTTAAAAAAAAAACAAAAAAAACAGAACAGTTTGTTGAATTCTTAATAACCAGAGAAGAAATTGTCTTATATCTATATTTAATGGGTGGTTGTGTTCAGTAACACAGATTCAAATCTTCTAAATACTATTGTATACATTAATTTCTAAATTGTCTTTATTCTTATGAACAGAATTTCCATGGACATTCACAAGTTACTTTAAATAGATCTTTCAAAGAACACTATTTTGTAAATTTATATAACAGACATTTTTTGCATGTTTGTTGTTCCAGGTAGTCAGCTTGTTTACTTAATAATGATTACATATGTATAAGCATGACTAACATGAATGACACTCACAAAAAAAAAGGAGATTTTTTTCCATTTCATAGGTTTACCTGGTATTGAATTTTCGTTTATTTTAATATTGGGAAGGTGTTTCATTGGTGTTTTTTTTTTTTTTACTTTTTCATTTTTTTTTTTTTTTTCGTTTTTGGAAGAAATCAGTTTTTGACAATGTAAACAAAATTCACTTGTGGTATCGATCAATGCTAAGAGACAAATTGGTGTAAGCAACAACTTACCAGTAATAGGCATTGTGCCGGTTATCTTGCAAATTCACATTAACAAAATGGAGAGACAATCTGTTCTAATGAGAATTTAAGTTCTTACAACACAACCAGTAGAAGATTCAAGTGTGATGTTTCAATGACTACCATACACTGTCATGTTCTTCAGACAAATGAACAGTGTGAAGTCGTTCAAGTTCTTCACATCTTGTACACTGCATACATCAGTGCTAGTACGCTTTACACTGTACATTAGTCTGGTGAAGGTGACAGTATAGTCATCAAAGTGGTTATAAGAACTTCTTTTCTTATTATTTACCAGTATTTGTAAAAATTTAACAGTATTATTATATATTTGGTCTGAGATAGTAAAGGCTCACATTACTTGCCTGTTCTTAATCTGAGGTATTGGGTCCAATTAGTACAGCTTCAGCTTATTAACAGTATTGTTTGTCAGCTTGTTTCATCAAAGTGAAAAATTTTCAAACAACTTGATATCAATTTTAAAAAATTGTTTCGTTTTTTGTAAAAATGGAAATTATGTGTTACCATCAGGCCAAATGTTTTTTTTAGCCATTTGATCGAAAAACTTTATCTACATTAGTAAAAGCAAAAATTGATAAAGCCTGAAAATCAACTACCGTATAACCTTATAACAATTACATAAGTTAGATTAGTCTGAGGGGTTCTGACCATCTATCCACAATTTCATTTTTGTCTTGGTCACGCAAGAAAGACAAAAATAGTTGATAGATACTCTAAACCATTTTGGACTCCGGTGTACAACTGCAGCCAGGAAAAGTAGATCTAATCTTATTTCTCATTTTTAGAATTTACAAAAATTAATTACATCTTATTTCTGTTTCAGTTTAAGAACTATAACCATGTTGTTTATGTGATGGTAAATATCACAGCATTGACTGTATTGTCCACATCTCGTAACATCTTTGCTTAATGTTATCTCTGCTCTTCACTAACCCTAACCATTTGATGTAGTTTACAGTGTGTCACAGATTTACTGTTTTCATTGTTTCTTTTTTTCCAAAGTTCATAACCTTTCATACCATAATATAGATATTTAAGTAATATAATATGTTACAATACTAAGAATTTTGAAGTAATATAATATGTCACTATACCTAAATTTTTGAAGTATTGTAATATGTCACTATACCTAAATTTTTGAAGTATTGGAATATGTTACAATACCTAAATTTTTGAAGTATTGTAATATGTCACTATACCTAAATTTTTGAAGTATTGGAATATGTTACAATACCTAAATTTTTGAAGTATTGTAATATGTTACAATACCTAAATTTTTGAAGTATTGTAATATGTTACAATACCTAAATTTTTGAAGTATTGTAATATGATACAATACCTAAATTTTTGAAGTATTGTAATATGTCACAATACCTAA